CCAACGCTAGATGGCAGCAGAGTTTGCACAGTGACTCTCTCAGCCGCCGGCTGGGCCTACTGCCAGCTCCAGAGGCATCACCCCGCGCCCACTTGCTCTGGCGGTGGCCACACGCTCTCAGGCTCTAGGTGGCAGGGCCCTTCTTTCCAGCATCACCCCCGCCCTGTCGGGGTTACGATCCCCCTCCAAGTCTGGCCTGCAGAGCCTCTTGGCTGAGGCGTCTCCCTGTGCTGGGCCCACTGCCCAGGGTCCCCCTCGCTCTCCCCAGCTGCTCACCGCACCCGGCTCCGGACGGCTCCAGCCCCGGCTCCAGCCCCAGCCCCAGCCCCAGCCCCAGTCAGCCTCAGCACGGCTGCTGCTGCTGCTCTGCCTCCAGCTCCCTGGGCTGCTTCTCTGGCCCCTCTGGCTCTGGTTGCTGCAGCTCTGCTCCCAGGGCAGCTCTGCTCTCTCTGGCTGTGCTCTGCCTTTGGGGCTGCAGCTCTGCTCCCAGCAGCTCAGCTCGGGCCCCTGCTCTCTCCTTAGCTCTGCCCCCTCTGTCTGACCCAGGCAATTCCAGTTCACCCGGAGAACGGGACCCCCCCGGCCTCCTGACTCCCTGATTAGCTGCCCGCCCTGTCAATCGGGCTGATCTGGAGCATTGGCCTCTCCCCATTGTTCCTGGGGACTGTCAGTCTCAGGCTCCTGATTTCCCATCGACCCCTCCCCTTTTAGTGCTGGGAGCAGCCAACCAAACCACCCCCACTGAGTGTTAGTAAGGGGGCAACCGTCCCCTTACATAAGGACTTCCCAGGCTGTGCCCAGCTGACTAATAAACCCGACTGTTTGCAAAATGCTGCCTGAGTGTCACTGCAAATACTGTCTGTGGGATGCGCAGGGCAGAGCTCACGGGGGGCAGCAGGAGGGCTGCAGCCCGGGGCTCAGTCCCCAGAGGCGGTGAGGCCGGTGGCCTACCCTGAAGAGTGAGACCCCTCGGGGGTCTGGCACATCTACGAGGTCCCTCCCAGAGACGGTTCCGAAGCTGGGGGCGTAGCACCAATCCTGTGGCTCCATCACAGGGGGCATGTTGGGGCGCTGGTTGGGGGAGTTGATACTTCAGGGATATAAACCCTTTGAAGTCTCTGGTGTGGACACCATTTAGCGCACGCTGGGCGGGGAGGAGAAAAGTTAAGTGGGGGAGAGAGACAACTAGTTCACATCCATCCGACATGGCGACACCCTGACGGCACCCGGCACAAGGTGGCTGAAATCCCCTTATAGCCCCTTGTATTGCAACAGGGCACAGCATACAGCCTGGCAGAGCTCTCCTCCCCAGCTCTGGCCGGCTGGCCTTCTGCCTGGGTTTCGGGGGCATCTCTGGCTCCATCTCTGCCTGAATCTCTGGGGCGGGGTTAGGTCTTGCAAAGAGCATCCGGGGCAATTTCCTCCAGGCCGGGATCCCTGGTCGCTTAGGCACCTTCTGATGCCCCAGCCAAGCTGTGCAGAAACCCATGCCGGTCCAGTTCCTCAGAGGAAGTGCAAGCAATGGGAGCA